GAAGATTTTGTTTTGCACGCATTTCATTTAATTCACTTTGTAAAAATCGTTCAGTTTGAATCAAATAAAGACCTTGGAATTTATGTGTTGTGTAATGGTCGTCCCAATTCATGAGATAAGAAGCAACTTGCACACCAGATAATTCTTGTTGTGAAGCAAGTGCATTATAACAACGTAAAACGAGTTTACGTGATTTTTCAATGACATTTTCCGTGTCCATTGGGTTGTTTGGATTTTGTAATGATGTAATACTTTTTTGAACAAGAGAAAATGTATCATGAAATGAGAGACTCATTTTTGTGACGTAGTCGGTAATATAATAGACTAAAGCTTTGGTATCATTTCCAGTCCAAATAAATTTAATATCCATATTGGATCGACAAGCTGAGATAATATATTCGTTGAAATTATTCATCCATGGATCCGATCGTTTCATCGAAATACCACCAGTTTCTGGATCGATTGTTGATACTGGTACCTTTTTTCGTGGCATAATCGCTCGACAAATCCTCTTACCATCCTTGCAGTATTTAAAACATGTATCACAGTGTCTATGAGTATTGCTAGATTCAGCAACTTGTGCTACATGTACACGAAATTTTGATCGAAAATTAGGCAACGATGGATTTGAAATGGGTAAGCAGGGTGGAGGTAATTTGGATTGATTAGATGACACATTCATATCTGAAAATACTTATAAATATTTTATTTTTATAAAATATTATTGTAACGTACCAAGTGTAGATCGACCATGTGTTGGTGTTTGTGCCAATGGACTTGAAGATACTGGAGATCTATATGGAATTGATGGTGATCGAGATGGAATCGATTGAGAAAGTAAATGCTGCTTAGTTGGTGTTGAAAAAAGAGGCGACGGATGTGTATTTTTTGCACTGCCTGTCAAATCAATAGTACGTAAGGCAGTATAAATATTGTTTTGTGTTGATGATGGTTCTACTATAAATAAAGAAAGATGAACGGTTGAATAAAATCAATATCTTTCATACCATCGGAAGATTCGATGACTTCTTTCTCTTTGAAATCATCTATATCTTCTTTGATGATATCTTCTAAATATGCTATTAGCTTAGTACGAAAAGTAGCATCTTGAATTTTTTCTTTCATATCAGCTGGTTTCATATCATGATCAAGCCAAATAAGAAGATGTAAGTGAAGTGAACCTCGGCCTTGACTTTTGACCGTACCAAAATAAGCCTTTATTGGTCCGAGAACTCCACCCATTATCATAGTTTCCAAGATATTGCTGATTAATACATGGAAAAATTTGGCAGTAGCGACAGGATGAGATGCTATAATTTCAGCTCTTCGGTAAGTATCCATTAGTTGTTCATCTTTAATTTGATCAAGATTGAGTTGAACACCAGCAAAATATAATGCTAGAGGACTATGAATGTCGGCTGGATTTATGGTAAGAAATATACTCGGTAAACCTTGATTAAAAATGAGTGCATGTATACGAGTACGTAAAGCTGTTCTTGAATATGCTGATCCCATAACTCGACCACCGACAGTTTTGATATGTTGTAAAAGTTTATTTAATGCACTATTTGCTTCTGTATTATATGTCCTTTTTGTATTGTTGTCAAGAGCCATTTCAATATCTTTGCTTTTGATTGATTGAATTTCATTAGCTGATGCTTGAAAATATGGTTTTGTTGCAATTAATTGCGCATGAAAACAAGCATCGCGTCGTTGCAATAAATTGAAAACTACAAATATGAAACTATGATTTGTTTCAAAGCGACGATCATTATAAGATAGTAGATAACGTATATGTTCTTTGAATTTAATTTCAATTGGACGTGATTGATCTTCAGGACCGCCACGTCCATAACAGAAAAGAGTTGGATATAAACCAGTTAATAGTTTTGGATTGAAATATTCATTGACAGGTTTCGATGAATGTGGAATTAAATAAACGTTTTCAGTAACTGCTTGATCATTTGTTTTTATTTTCTGTAAAAAATAATTAGTAATCTCATCTGATGAAACTGCTGAGCCATTAACATCGAGAACACCACTAAAATAGAGAGACTATATGGATTCATTGATTTGTTAATTGCTTTTACATGTTACTGATTGGTATGACATCTAGAGTCGTACGTTCTTGTGGATTCATTAATGGATCAGGAACATATCCAGTTCTTTCGGATTGACCATCATCATCACCTATCTTTTGTTCTAAAGTTGACATGATGCATTCTGGTACATCATCTTCTGGTAATTGAGCAATATTATCCAGATTTATATTGATGTTTTGATAAAGTGTGTTATATTTTTTCAACCATTGTAATGCTTCAATAATTTTCTTCTTGCGTACGGTTAATACCTTTCTAAGATGAAGACGATCCGGTGGTCGAGCTCCAATAAAGATTACTTTAAGTGTATCACAAAGATCAGTAAGTGTAAGTGGTAAACTAGTGACGATATTTGGTACATTTTGAAGAAACGTAATACAATTTCCCTTTAATGCCGTTTGAGCAGTTGTAGTTGAATGGAAAGGTGATTGAAGCTTTATTATACAGCTATTGTGACGATAAAGTGATATTAACTTTTCTTCTGGAATAGTCAACCCTTGTAATTCTTTCGGTGTATCACCTAACCACATGTTGTTGGCAACTGAAAACTTCGGTATTTTTTCTTTTGAAAGAGAAATATGGCATTTTTGACAAAGGATGCACATTTTTACTCTGTTTGTTTGAAATAAGCCATTTTTGTACAAGATAATATCGTTTTCACAGTAAAAAGATGACGAATCCAAGCTTGATTGATCTAAATAGAACACATCTGTAAGTTTTCTGAATCAAATTAATTCTACATACTTTTAATATGAGATGTCGTACGTATATTGCTATCATCAGTGTGAGTGGCAGTATTTTCCATTGAATTCTTAATTAAAGTTTTTAGATCTTCAGAAACTTTTAGCAAATCCATATTAGGAATTTTTGAGATGGGTATTTTTTTCGAATCTTTTGCTGGAGTGCGAATGTTACAAACTGCACAAGTTGCTTCAGCTAATTGTTTCATAGACATCTGTTCTAAAAATTGCTGCAAACGAGCTTCTTTTAAATCACGAGAAATCGGTTCCGGCCAAGGTGAACGAATAGAGTCTTGTTCGCCACTGATAATTTCATGTTTCTTTTTAGTTCTATTTGCTTCACTTCGTTTCTTTTGTTGATCGAGTCGATTTTTCTGATGCTGTTCTGTCTCATTCATTCGGTTAGATCGACTTCGCTCTTTTTCTTTCTGAAGGCGAATTTGTAGCTGCTCTGCTGTTTCATTCATTCGTTTGGAACGGACTCTTTCTTTGTCCTTCTGAAGACGAATTTGCCGCTGTTCTTCTGTTTCATTCATTCGACTTGATCGGCTTCGCTCTCGTTTCTTCTGAAGTTGAATTTGACGTCTTTCTTTCTTATTATTCTTTTCCGTTTCTACTGGAATTGAAACGTCTGTTTGGATGAAATCATTGTCGATGTCATCTTCATTTCGAAATCGTCTACTTGGAGAAGATTGAAATTCAGGTATTCGTATTTGAGCAACAGTATCGTTTTTGAACGTTCTCTTCTCCGGTGTCTAAAGAAAAGTTTTAAGATTTTGATTCATCGATTTACGATGCACTAACTTACCACAACAAGTGATATTGATTGACTGTTGACTGCATTAGGAATAGGTGGCGACAGAAGTGGTACAAAATGATTTGGCCTCCATAAGCCATTATATGCTTTTCGAGCATCTTTTTCATGTAAAGTACATGACCAAAAGACTACAATATCACAATTTTCAATAATAGGTGGAATAGGTGTGAAGACGCTATCCCAAATTGCCTTGTAATATTCAAAATCAATTCTTGGATAAACACTTCGTATGTTGCATTGTAGTACATTGCATAATGCAGCAACTTCATGTATTTCAGAATACATCCCCTTTTTGCAAGCTGCTTGAATAATAATATCGGTATTTCCTGCATATCGTGCGTATATTGTATCGTAATGGTTTTCATTAGTTATAAGTTCAATAACTGTTCGAACTAAAAATCGGTTTCAAATCTTAATGTAGAATAACATCAAGAAAAAGAGTTTATACCTCGCAATTCACTAGCCGTCACTAATGGATTGTTCATCAAAAGAACAATAGAATGATATAAACAATTTCCATCACCAGGAACGTCAGCAGGAACAAGATGATGTGTATCAGCGGTCGCTTTATCAAGATATTTCTTAGCGACCACATCTACTACATGCTTTGTTTCATCAAAAACATAAGTCGGGTAAAATTGAAATGGTTTCATAATTGAATCCATCTAGAAAATTTTAATTTTTAACTTAATCATCATTTAAATGAACCTACTTGTTTAATTTGTTGTGCAAGGGAATTGATTTCATCGCGGTTCATGAGATTGTTAGAACATGTTTCTAAACGCTGAAGTAAACGTTCAAATTTCAAACCACGACTCATTTGATTACATCGTGTACAACAATAACTTGTGCACAAAATAGTGCAAAAAACGCATTGTTTATTCATATTTCTTATCTATTTTATATAATCTAAAAAGTATAGCATTTTTCATGAAAATCATCCGTTGCAATATTCTATTTTAAAATATTTTTAAAGATTAAAGTATGCATATTGTTGTTGAAGAAATTTGGTATACTATTAAATCAATAAATGCAATAAGAAAGAACAGTTATCATCTATCCTTTAGATTTCTATTTGAACAGTTGATTTCTCCATTTATTTTCTTTACTTTTAATGTAATATGAAAGTAGAAGTTTGTTAAAATGACGTCCCATCTTATAGTGAAGATCATAGAAGTTAGGATGAACAAATTAAAATTTTTGTTTGTGTTTTTCCATATTCGAGAGAGTTTTTTTCTTTTTTAATCTCATGGAAAAATAGTATGTTGTCCAATGTTGAAAAACAAGAAGAATAATAGCAGAATGATCATTTTTCTCAACAATATATATATGAGCGATAAAATTCAAAATTTTCAGAAAAAACGGTCAGTCCAATTTTTCAAAACAGTAAAAACGTCAGAATATTATGCAATCCATGAGTTTGAATGATAAGTCATAGATTTATCTTTTCAAATACAACTGATTATTGTAAGAGTATCTACATGATTTATTGTGGATGATCGAATGAAAATATGAATCTATTCAAGGAATCACGTAGTGATCATTAATTATATATCATCTTATCTATCTTTTTTATCTATGAAATATCGCATTTGAATTTTTCATTTTAAGAAAACAAAACGTTTCATTTTTTTTTAAAACTCTTTACGTTTTTCGATATTAATAACGAAATATAAATAATAAAATCAATCAAATAAAAAATATGAGATTTAATCATTTTCTCACAGAAAGGTTTTTTATCATAAAAATTGATTCATACAGCTATATCTATGTTCATTTCGTATGTCTAAATTAAGACATATGATCGATCTATGAAAATGAATATCGAAATAGATGTTGGAAAAAAATTCGATTTGAATATGTTCAAAATCTCAAGATATATACAAATGTAATCTTGAAACAGAAATATAATGAACAAACATTGTTCAGCCTTTTTTATTTAGTTCAGAATTTTCATCCGCTAAAATATTCCATATATCGTATTTCTCAAAATGGAATTCAATTAGCATGTAAAAAGAATGAACGATAGATGTCAATAAACATAAGAGAAAGGAAAGGAATTGAAACGTTCAACTTCTTATTTGGTCACTTCTTTCCAATATGAAAGACGATAAGCAAAAAATCATATTCCATCTCATACGCATTGATACATATAATCCACAAATATATATTAAAACTCCTGAGATTGTTTAACTGATTTCGTTTTATAAAACAAATCTAATCGAATATTTCATTCGAATCAATAAAATAAACTAACGTTATGAGACAGAAACGACGAAAATAAAGAAAACGCTTAATATATGTTTTTATGAAATGAAAAAATTTTAAGTAATAGTTTAGTTTAACGGTTAATGATAGAAAATCATATCGATTTTAGAATAATGAATATGTTTTATAAATCAATATTAAAAGATGAGAAAGAAAGAGAGAAACAATAATCAATAGTTGATCAAACTCACAAAAAAGTGATTTGATTTTTTTTCTTTTTGAATTTTACAATAAGAAGAATCATCATTTTCAGAAAAAATCGTTTCTAACATAATGTTCATTTCATGAAGGTATTATATCAATCAATGATATTGCTTCTTTTAAAAATTATTTCAAAACAAAGTATAAGGAAACAGAAGACGATACCTTTTGTTTCTTTAAATGCAATATCTCTTACTTTATTCGTCAAGTAATATCGATATCTGCTCTGGTTTGACTAAAAATAACATGACTTACCTTTGTACTATCAAGACAATTGTTATTTCGAGAAATTGAAAATTTATCAATGAAATGATCGAAATTCATAAAAGATGATATTTTTACTTGATATAATAGCAGCTTTAATCTTGGGACACGAATTATCTTCGATTCTTCATGCTTTGAATAACTTTTTTGAAATCGTGCTGGTTGGTCTCAGTTCAGGTTGATGAACAATAGTTCCAATGTTAAAGAAATGAATGATCACGTTTGAATATAAAGATTATTCCCCATTCTACTCCTTACCTAGTCTCGAAAAATGTTCATACATGTACGATAGATGTTTGTGATTGTATTTTGTTTATTTTAAATACGATTATGGATGAGCTCGCATTATTCTGCCCTTTGTTTTCTTGTATTTCCTTTTCAAACTACCCTATATTGAAAAATATTTGATTAATGAAGTTCTTCCATAGAAATTATAATTGAATTTTTTCTTGATGATAATTTTCAATTATGCGGTACTTGTATAAGATGAAATTCATCATGAATTTCGTTTTTTTTACTTATAATCAAATTAGCCAATTTCTAAGAATTTATATTGACTATGATATGATCTTAAGCTTGTTATTTTTATGCAACTGACTATCAATCAATGTGCAATAAATAATTTTTTCCATTGAGTTTTTAAATTGACAAATCGATATCGTTTTATCAAATGTTTGAGTTTGATTCCGTTATTTTTTTGCGAAATGAAAGTCCGAATAATTTCTTTGCATTTCTATTGAAAATGCTGCTCTATGTCGAATTTCTTTCGGAAATTTGGTTTCTGTTGTGTTTTATCACATCTCACCAAAGTTTGATGATATTTTATATCACAACAGAAAAAAATTCAGTTGTTCTGTATATGGCAAAATTAATTATCTTTGAAGCCACATGATTGGTTGATTGATGGTGGCAAACCTTCAATAAAAAATCTACCTATATTTTAAAATACAAATCTCAGCATCATTCAATGAGATTAAACATATATTTTTATTTATTAAAGTCCCAAAAAAGGGTCGGTTTCCACAACGGATCGATTCTAAATACCCTTGTATATAATTGTAGAATTTGATCATCTGGTGTATGTGAATTTTGTCGATATTTCTGAAATATACTTTATGGTAAATCAGCGATGATAAATCATACGCTACGTTCTATATTTCTGATTGGATGGACGATGCATAAAAAACAACAAGACGTATTGTAGCGTATTGTACAGTGGAAGAAACGCTGTTGATGTTAATCGTAGGAAGCGAAGACGTCGAATGAATGAATACATGAACTGCTTCGCTATTTATAGGCCAACATCAGAATGATTTATATCGGAGACAGTGATTCATATCGATTTATCTTTTGTCTAGTCTAGACTACTTTTCGTCAATCCTTTTGATCAATGACAATAACCATATCTAACTCTTCACTCATCAAGTGTTTCCTTTTCGGCATCTTTTTGTCGTCTATGATGTTCATATACTAATATCTTGTTTTCATCACTTCAAAGAGATACTAGTGTGTACGTTTCTTTTTCTTTTTATATAATGACTCACTCAGACATTATGTGATCAAGCATAGGGATAATATGTTAGCCATTGAAAAAAGACTTATTGCTCACCATAATAGATGGCGTTGAAAAATGGAATATCTTCAGAAAATTTATTTATTGAATTACAGTCGAGCATATACAACGAATGTCGAACAAGAGTAATCAGTTCGTTTTATAAAAGTATGGCTTAAATCATATTTGTATGTGAACTAGTTAAGGACGCAAGGACCCTGCTTCTATAGAGAAAAGCATAAAATACTATACAGAATCTATTCTTTCCTAGTATAACAGCGTCCTAACGTCCCAAGAAGTAGTATATGTCTGTGGACTAGTTAAGGACGCAAGGACCCTGCTTCTGTAGAGAAAAGTTTAAAATACCATACAGAAATTTGTTTTGAAATTACAAGCGATTATTGGTTTTAAATTTAGCCCTACCTCTCCCAAACGATGTTTTATGAAGTTTTGAGCACTTTCAAAAAAAATGTTTTTTTGACCTTTGTCAAGCCCCCCCCCCCCCCTCCTGCCCCCCTCCCTCACCACCCAACATCAATATCAAGCCCCAAGAACCCTCCCAAACGATGTTTTATGAAGTTTTGAGCATTTTCAAAAAAAATGTTTTTTTGACCTTGACACAGACAAACAAACTATTTTTTTTCATATGACCCTCCTTTCAGTCGAGGGAATAAACGAAATGAATTTATTAGCAAATAGTTCCAGAAACAAAACGAAACCATATGAAAATTCTTCATATCTCTATCGATAGAAAAAGAAAATGCATCACTATTTAATTTATCTATCTACTACAATAACAAACCAATGTAATATAGACATAGAAAAAGATTAAATAACAATAAACTTTGAAAGCAAAAAAAAATACATGCATACTTTTAAATAAATCGAAATCCACTTGAAAAAATATGAGCACCGTTTTTTATTTTATACAAAATAAAAGAAAAACAAAACGTGTATAAAGTTTAGCACCGTTCAGATATTGTTCACCATTAGGTTTTAATGAATTTGATGTATCACTGTTCTTTGCTACTGCAGCAGTAATTGCTTCGAATGCTGGAACAGTCTATAAAGAAATTATTTGTATCATAGAAAAAAAAAATGTTTTTCAATTACTATAATTTGATTTTGTTGGAAAAAATTGTTGTGGAAATGATGCAGCATCTACACGAAAATCTTCAAGATTTTTATAGTTTTTTAAAATTTCTTCAAGTTTTGAATTGATTTTTGGTTTTTCTCGAGAATCTTTTAAAGATGTCCAGAATTTTTCTAAACCATATAATTGACCTAAATAGAAAAATTATTTTTGTTTTTGACACTTTTCTTTTTATTTTTGTGTAATCTATTTTATTACCAGCTTCATGATCACAAAGAGTTTCATGTTGAAAATCTTCGAATACATGTTGACGAAAATGTTTTTCTAAATCATATGTATAAAATCGAAATAGATATTCAACACCATATCTATACATAAATAATAATATTCAATTTTTTTCTTATTATTTTTCATAAGAAAAATGACTAAAAACGATAGAGTG